GAAATGAGAAATTTGTTAATCTCTACCTGTTTATGGATATGTTCTGCAGATTGCTGTGACTGTCTAAATATAAGAATAGACCAAACAAATTAAGACAATGAACTGAAAATTCAGGAGATGAGTGTCCGTAGTAAGCCATTAGTAAAGTAAATAAAACATTAAATTTAATGTACACTTACTTTAAAGTTACTGTACGTGTACATTAAATTTAATGTACGTGTATGATAATTACTTTCATGTACTTTTACATTAAAAGTAATGTAGAAATTTCTGACAGTATACTTATTGTTCATTAATAAAGTTTATTGCAATTTGATATAAAGAGTACCAAAATTTCATATCAACAGTAACTTTCTAACAAAGGAATATAATTTCCATAACGTTATTACAACAAAAGCAGGCGCATACAAATGCAGTTTTATCAAAAACGCGTCCATTCCACCAAGTTCCCTTTTCTATGGGCGAAATCAACTTTGTGTGGTTCCTGTCCCCAAAATCCTTTGTGAAACACAAAGCCTCTCACATCTCTTGATTTGTTCTTTGTTAGTGACAAATTAACCGTATGGCGCTGAGAACAGGTGGTCTTTTATTCCCGGAAAACCTTTTATCTCCGACAGCAAGGGAAGGAAACAGGGAAAACCGCGTTCTATTCTGTAATGTTGACCAATTAAGAGAAGCCCCACCTTTCAGGGGAGGGCTGTGAAGTTGCTTGTGAGTCAATGAGCCGATGGAGATCCTTGACATACAGAACGCAGCGCACAAGTTATACATTGAGTTGAAAACGTGTTTGAAAGTTTGCCAGAGCACGTCACAGCAGTAAGTTAAAGTCGACTAATAATTCAATTAGAATAGCAGGCGAATGTTTTTCATTGAGTATTATCCTGTTGGCACGCTGTGGCCTCCCGTGACTTCATAAGATGGAGCTTCACAAAATTAAGCCAGAGTAGTGTACAAAACATACGACGGGATGACTCGGTTATCTTCGTCAACGAATACCAGGTGAAAGCCGGACCACTACCCTAACACATGAGCCACGGACCGCGCGCGATCTTTCCTTCCCTTTCCTTGTCCTATTCTCACCCTCACATACACTTACATGCACTACTCTACTACGCCTCCGAGCGGTAACCAATGGGGGCTGGGTGTTGGTGGTCGCCGAGCACTGCGCGGCGTGGCTGTAACTTAATTTTATGAATTTCGCGTGTTATTAAAAGTACACAAGTTATGTCAGTTATTGAAGGTGTTGAGTACATTATTTATGATGTGTGGAGAATTCATTTTCTTTTGATATTAGGTTTTTGAATCGAAATGAATATTTAATTTTGATTCCGTTGTGTAACGTTGGCTGTTTTGGAAGGAATCCTTTTCTGTGTCTCACTGTGGATGCGTAATTTCGGCTGCAGTTACAGTCTGCGAGCGATGTTGTGTGTGTGTGTGTATGGAATATCTTCAATACAAGATATACCAGAGTAGTGAACTTTTCGAAATAATATAATTTTGTGAAAAACCTGTCAAAGCAATAGTGATTGTTCCAAAGTGCTGCAATGCGGTCACTCTATTTTCTATTTCTTTTTTGTTTTATATGAATTACATTAACGAACATTTTCTCAATACATTACTAATACAGAAACTCGAGAGTCCATTGTAAATCAAAGCTAGAACCACTTGCGCGATAGAAGTATATACCTACATGGACACTGCGCATAAAATTATATAATAAATGTTTTGTTATATAATTAAATATACTTTTATGTCACTTAGTTTTAATTAATTTACGTAAATTGCTTAAGTTTTTATTATACATCAGTGTTCTGAATTTTGAAAATTATATTTTCATCATTCGATAGAGGTAGAACCTCCAGTCTGTTGTGCCACCAGTCGCCGCTGACTGATCAGTATACATTGAAATAATCAGTTAGTTTGTAAAATATTTGCCTTGTGTCCGCACCATCAGGCTACCCTCGCCAACAAATTTCTCGATTTCTCTGTTGTGTATACTAAATGTTCATAATTTAGCCTGGAAATACTTTTTAACACGCCATTCATTTTTCCTCTGTAATGTGTTTTACAAAACTGTTATTAAAACTGTTTATCACAGAGTGTCTTCAAAACTAATTGTTTCTTCAATATATTCAGTAACGTTCACCTTTACAAGTGTCCGTCACTACACCTGCGATGCTTTTCTTTTCCTTGCAACATAATTATAACAATCTTGAACATGACCAACATATCTACAGCATTTTGTTGAATTCATGCCCATATGAAACTCATACATCTTCTTTACTGCACAGCACTAACATTTGGGTCTGAAAAGTTGCAATCACCATCTCTCAACCAGCGCAGATCTTCCGGTACATCCAACGCACAGGGTCAACATGCTCCCCCCCTCACCGTCCAGCAGATGCGGAGGCGTTGGGCTGACGTCCTCGTTTACGAGGGCCCACCCCATGGCCCCGCCCCCGCGGCACGCGTTGCTTTACAGCGCCGTAAAGGCTCGCCGCCAATCTGCGCCGAGATTGACGCGCCGCCGCCATTTCGCGACACGTCGTCACGAAATGGCGGCGACGCCTGTGGTCAGTCTCGGAGGCGTTCTGAGTGACTTTGGCTGATTCTAGGGTTCAATCTTGGGACATGGTAGGCTGATGTCACCCGACTGTTTGTTTTCTTGAAGGAATTACATGTTTTGTGAATAATTTAGCCCAAAACTTGGAGGTGGAAGAAACGGTGTAGAAAATGATGTAACTCTGGTATTGGAATACTATACTTACCGCTGATATAAAATTAACTTAATTTAATGTTAGCTGTACTAGCCTTTGAATGTTGTAGAATATTCTGTTCGAGATACAGATAGCAATAATAATTAAATTAAAACTAGCTGATCTAGTAGCCGAGATTTCTAAAGAGCAAGAAATAATTTAATCTTATCATTCGAACGGTACTGCCCAGCGCTCCTTCAATACTAGTTTCCAAACCATCAGATCTGACGAAATACATGAAACAACACATCTATGTGTCGTCCGAAATGACGCTTAAGTTAGACCATTAGGTATATTATCCATCAAACATGACAAAAAAACTCATAAATTATTTGCATATCAATGGAATATTAATAGATTTAAAATAAATAATCAACAAATGAACATTTGTAAGTACAAATAAGAAGTCTTCCCGTGCCGGTAGACTTCTTAACCAAGCTCCATGAAGTCACAGCAACATAATTATAGACACCGCAGGAGCCTGAGTGTGACAGTCTGGGAAACCCGAATGCTAACTGCATTGATCCCCTAACTGATAAGGATAAAAAGGCAATGACTTACGATTTGACGTATTCGAACCTAGTGAATCTAATAAATTTTTTTAAAAAAAGTCTGAGCTATATCAGATAAATATGACTCCCATTTCTTCAGACATTTTCTTAACACAAAGCATGCACATATTTCTGGAGAATGCTGACAGTATCATTGTATGTATAAATATAAATAAAAAATATTTTAAAAATAAATATCTAACGTAACAACTGAAAGAGTAAGCCGGCCCTATAGCGAAAGTGGCTCAGGCACGAGGACAGTGACGATGTCGGTTCGGGGGATTGCGAGATCGATTTTCGCGTAGGCTCCGTTGTTTATCCCTGCGTTGTGGCATGTGGGGCCGTTCAGCCCAACGTGCATCACCCTCCTAATGATACCCTTCCGTTCTTGGACCGTTCGGATGCCGCAGGCGCATCCTCTAGAGGCATGCCGAAGCTACACTCGGACGCCGCCATTCCCCAGAACCTATTCTCCCTCTGGTGGCAGTGTAGGTCAGGTGACACCAGGTGGCGTTCGCAGTGCGATTTGAGTGAATGATTGAATAGTGATTCGGTCATCTAAGGTCATTGGTCATATTAGTGTAGTGCATATTTTTTTCACGGGAGGCGCTGACTTACCGTGTGCTTGCAGGGCTTTCCCTGTTCTCCCACCGGTGGAGCACCTCCCCAACCGAGTCGAGCTTTAAGTATCCAAGTATCCGAGCAGTCTCCAGTGTGTGTGGTAGTGTAGTACATTTAAGTGTACATTTTAGTAAGCAAGGGGTAAGAATAGGACGAGGAAGGAAAGATTATGCGCGGTCCGTTCTCCGTTTGTCACGTTTTTGCTCCGGTATTCGCCTGGTGTTGATCGGAGAAACCACGGAAAACTACTGATCAGAGCGGCCGGCCGCTAGAATTCTCCTCCAGACAGTGACTGAATTCGACCTAGCTGACATACTAGACGAATATCCTGCCACCGTCGGGAGTGGAAACCCAGGACCTCCCGGTCAGAGGCACTGCAGTTACATCAGTTGATATCCTGAGGCACCTCTCCCGGTGTCGGGCCCCGAGACACAGCGGAACAGTACCTGGCCATGGTCATAGTCACTCAACGGATATGTTATGTATGATGAGTAAAAATCAGATGATGTATGGGCTTGCAGGCTACGGTAGTACGAGTTAGTAAGAGCATGACGAAAAAACGGGCCCATGGGCCGATTCGGTGTAAGAATGAATAAAAAAACAAGGGCCCAGGAGGACTCGCTTGGCGGTTAGCTAGTCTCAGCAGGCTAGAGAAAAAGTTGGAAACAATCCAAACGGATGGAAACTACAACACAACCACCTGTGATTCCTCGCAAGCTTGGAAGAGGAAAATATGCAACTGATACTTAAATTTATTATTATTTTTAGTATTAGTATTATTATTATTTCTATCGGAAACATGTCCCCGAGAAGAGCATGATGGAATTTATGTTTTGTTCTCTTCCTTAACATAATTAAATAAAGTACTGAATGGAACAAAAACATTCAATCATAATACGTTTCCCAGAAACTATAAGTATGTTGTCTGCAATGCGTTTTTTGTTTTAAAACCAAATGTGTGACAACAATTGTTATATTTTCAATTCGATAAAATTATTTTTGAAAAATACACATTATGTGATTGGGATTGGGGTTATGAATTTGAATTATTTCTTTGAATAAAACTTCAAAATCACTGTAATAATACTTTATATTCAAGAGCAGAATTTATAGACAGGAAAAGGTTTGTTAGTGGGAACGTGCAGATGTAACCATTCATCCATGTTAGCCATTCAGAACCGGGTGCCAGTGGGCTTCAGAATTATATCGTTCACCTGAGGACAGAATGACAGTTATCAGGAGGTGATGCGATATGCGTCACAAAGTTCAGTACTTGGCACCAGTTGGCTTGATAATCAACTCCTGAATCTGTGAAGAGAAACAAAAAGTTTTATACAAGAGAGTTTCTTTAAAATTCTATCATTTTTATGGTAATTAAAATGATTGACTGTAATTTATTTTATGGTCTACTCATTTGTTTCCTATGGTCATAGATCTGAAAACGAAACAAGTTTTACTGCACTTAATTCCTCGATATCTATAATTCATTATGCTCACGTGCGCCTTTTTAATTCTTTATGGCTGCTACTGAATCAACATATAAAAATGATTCAAAGAATTCTACTTATTAAATACAAATATAGTTACTGCCTGACTTAGTTCTTAAATAAGAAAAATTACATGTAACTAGTACCGCACACACTTAAACCTCAACACTCGAAAGTAGGTGATACGGTGTATTATTCACGTCATTCTTGAAAGTTTCTCTTTATTTGACGCCATATCGTTTTTGTATATTTAATATGAGACGATTAATAATGAGACGATAAATTTGATTCAACAACGAATTACTAAACCATAACGTTTTGTATCAATTGATGTTTTTGTCCCTGAGGCGACTTCCAAATCTGAGAGCTCCTGGCCCTCTGGTATATATAAAAACCTCAACTAACGCCATAGGTATAAATAACTATTCTAACCCATTTTATAAATTAATTGCACTCCAGAATTGCCATAAAGACCTATAAAATGAAAATCGAAACTACAGATGTAATACAAAACGATTTTAATATTCATTATAAAAGAATTATAAATGAAAAATTGTTATAATGTGCAAATGAGGTTGGCAACGGTTATTGATCTTTTAATTAGAGTAGTATTTGCGTCAGTGTGAAAGTACGTACGTATTTAATGGGGCAAAAATAGTACAAATACATTATTTAAATGACATGCATATCTCGTATTTAATAACTAAATACTATTAACACATTGTACGTTTTTTATATTGAATACATATTGCGACTTTCGTAAACAATACACTCGCAAAGTGATCCAAAAGTATTCCAAGTAAAGTTAATCCAAATAGTATTAAATAAATGAATTTATTAATGCAGAAACTCCATAGAACACAACTTTCTCTGTTGTAATTTTCTTCTCTCATGAAATGAAAGGAGATATTCAAATTCTTTACAGATATATACAGATTATGACCAGACATTACATAACGTTCATTTTAAAAATATTTTTTTTATAAATATATTTATGCAAACAGGTTTAATTTTTGTAATTGAGGAGGGTTGGCAAGTTGCCCGGAAAGATACGCAGTGTTTTTATTCAAAACCGAACAGAAGAATTTTACAGTCGCGTACCAATGGAAGTAGAGAGTAACAAAGATACCTCAACCGAGGTTTCTCCTCTGTAATTGCTTAGGTAAGGGGTTACTGCTTCGGTTTTTCCAATCATTTATTATTGGAACCTTTATCCACAAGTGATGGATATTGAATAGAAAAGACTTGAAACTGTCGCCATGGGTATGTGAAAACTCCGACCGTCTAATACAGCCAAGCCTGCCCATAAGCATGTTGAAATGATATTTTACTGTATTTAAATGTAGAGAACCGTGCATTCGTTTCAACATAGTTAATGTTGTATATGTTCTTCGAAAAAAAGTCCTGGTCATTTGTGTATCTCCGGATACGACCCCAAGCACGTAAAATGTTAAAAATTTTTCTTTCTCTTACATAAATCACTAAAAATAGTTTAACATAAACTTGCAAAGATGATTGTATTATATATATTTGGACCATTTTTGCGATATAGACAGTTGTACACACAAGTTCTTCCTTTTTGTAGTACAACTGTCTATAATGCAAAGAATGGTCCAAAGATATATAGATACAAGAATATATTTTTAACAGTGAAACTATTCCCAAATTAGGATTGCATTATCTTGCTAAATACATGCGTTCTTAAATAAAGTCTGTTCATAAATTGTTTTGTAATACATTCTGGGGTCTGCCGTGGACCCGACAATGGTGATCTGTATTCAAATAGTATGTGTAAACAACTGTTCAAATTGCGTCCAAGGCCTGACTGAAATGTTAATGTGTTATGTAATAAACTAAATAAAGAACTATATCAGAATAAATATATTTTGTGATTAGGACATAGAATGAATTCAAGGATTAGAAGATATGCATGAAAAGATATTTAAATATACTTTCATCCAAACAGTGAATTTGAACATTTTTATTTTGGATAGTCTTTGTAATTTTAATTTTATTAATGAAAAATTGATATATCTATTTTTCACACCGCTATATCTTTCCAATAATTGAGTTATTTTCATTGGAGATTTATTCTTGGGCAATAATACATTCAAACTGTATTATTTTAAAGTGAAATATAATACGTTAAATAATAATTTCGACGTTGAACTGACTTAGTGACTTCTCACTTTGTTTAAATAACAGATATGATCTTCACCTATGTTCACCTTTTATTAATATGATAATTTTTTCAATGGCTTAATCGTCTGGTCAGATCATTGTCATTTCAGGTCTGCAATATGGAAATCAATAACGCTGGTCTGTTTATGTAACGGATAAATACGTTGGTAAAGGTTACTTATTCATTGCCACCACACAATCAGGGAATCTAAAATCTGATTCTAATAACGATCAAGTTAAATTACGTATTTATCTGAAGTTCGAAAGCCGTGGGAGCAACCAGTTTGTGATATCTTAACAACCCGGGCGCTGTGCGAGACTTGCGTGTGAGCAGCGTGTCTAAGTAACTCCTCGGGTCTATTTTCCGAACAAGTTACGAGGCGAGTAACTACAGCGCTCAGCTTGTGGTCGTCACGCGTGCTCACTTGGGTCTCTCTCCCCCTCACCCCCTATTCCCCTCCCCTTCCTCCCACCCTCCCCCCTCCTCATCACTCTGCTTCCCGATGCCCCGCCGCCGGCTATTTTAGCTCGCACGCGAGAATAGCATGACAAAGTGTCGCTCTGTGTAGTCTCGTTGCAACTTCATGTTCTAGTGCTGGTCTATTCCCAGATAGTAATCCATGAAGAAGAATGAGTGTGGACAGCCTTTTTTCTTCGAGTACAGCACTAAAGCATGTACTTTCTTGTTAATTTTTATGAAAAGTCTTAGGGGTTTTCTTATTGCCATGTGCATACGTTGCAATAATTCTTGTGTGCTGCTTGGTATTTTTTTATATTTTGTTTTCTGTTGAAATATGTGGTCGTATGACTGTTGTTGGAATGCAAACTCAAAATATTATTCGCGCACTTTGGAAAGAAATAAGGATATTAGCGTTTGGAGAAAGAACATTAACTTCTTTGAGATCGTTTTATAAAAATGAACTATTTTTTTTACCGAACGCTTAGACTATAATTCAATAGAAAGTGTAAACGTGAATTAGACAATTTCTACCTCGGACAACTGTTAAATATTTTATTACGAAGTTGAAGAAATTGTCATGTGACGTAATAAATCTACTCAATAAATAATTAAATAGTGTGAGCAGTAATTAATTTCGCATGCTCCCAGAGATCCGGTACACGCAGCGTAGTGGGTTTATACTCGTATGTAGACTTTTCGGACACCGTGTCGTAAGCTTGAGACATTACAGCCCAAGCACAACTCAAATGTCGGCATACCAACATACGACACAGCGACATTCGGACAGGAGAGAACTTCAAGTGACACTGGCTTACAACTTGAACAAATTTAATCAGATTTAATAATTTTTTGCAGCGAGATTTTTCATTAAAATGTGTAAATTATAATGGAACTCATGAATAATTCAATTTTTTTTCGTGCGGAAAGAGATGAATGTTCAAGAAACAAAGCAAAGTGAATGATGATTTAAGTCAAAATAAGCACATTATTTTAAATATGGTATTTTTTTTATTTTGGTAGCGTTCGCGAATGTAAACATTCATTATACCTATTTAGCATCTAGAACAAAAATTGATTCATTTGTGACTCATTTAATAAACATAAAGAAGAAGAATCTGCGTATATGTCACAAAGAGCTTTCATTATTTCTTGATAATAAATCAATCGGACAAATCAAACGGAGAAATCAAAGTAAGTAAATCAAAATCAGACTAACCGATTCTCTCGTCATGCACACATTATATTTCACTCGTAACCATGTGGTTTTATAATAGAAAGAAAAATACTTAAATGGTATTGGAAAACCATAGAGTTTTTTAATAATATCATGTTAGCCTACAGCACTAACGAAAGAAAAAAATACATTTGCACTAATTTACATAGCATTAATGTTCTTGAAGCTTTAAAAGTTCTATAGCTTTAGAATGTTTCTACCTAATATGGACATTATCTTATTATCAAATAAAAAAGAAAATAAGAATTTTATGAGGAAAGTAGAGTTTCCCTAAATAAAAAATAATTAAACTGTTTAAATTTCTAACCGTCATGTTCATTAGCCTTCACGAATTTTGATAATTCCGCCTCTCACCAATTTCTCACCCCAATTCTCTTTTTCATTTCTTTCATGTTGTCGTTAGCTCGTGATAAGTCAACAAATCATAATTCACTTATTGTTATGATTATTTAACGAATTACTTAGTAGACAATACTAGCCATTGGTAGGCATTGTGAATATTTTAGTTTCGTCTAATGCTCACCTGAACTCGCTCAGGAGTGCCTAAAACGTAGACGACGGCATCGGCGATATCCTGGGGCTCCATGTAATCCTCGCCAAACATTTTGTCGGGAGTCAGTTCCTTCATGTTGCCGTACGAGAAGATATCGCTCTTCACCAGGCCTGGACTGATACTCTGCAGCAAATTAGCATAAAAAGAATGAAGAACTGTAATAACGAAGATATCAATGCAAGGAATAAATGCTATGAAAAAGGATTAAGCGTTTCATAGTCCTTCAATCAAACCACTACGCTTGTTGTCAGACTTCAGCGTAATCTTTTCTATGATTGGGAAACTACGAATAGTAGACACAGCATGTCTTATTCTACCTTATTATAATACACATCCCAATGAAGATCCTTTGATTGTGCCTGATTGGTTGGAAGATTGTGCCTGATACCTCACGAATGTGTTTAGTACTGGACAGTGGGCAATTTGAGGTATGAATTTGTTTTCTTAGGGCTATAAAAGTCATAATTTAATAAGACAATAAAATAAGTGTCAATTAACAAGTAAATACAAAAATTGCGGATTGAGTGTACTATTTAGATTGAAGGCGAAAGTCGGTATATCATTTTAAATTTTGAATAACATTTTCAATTGAATATTTTTAACTCTTCTTTAAATTTAGAAGTATTCAAATAAATAAGTCTTCTTTTCTAGCATATCAGATAGAAATAAAAGTCTTCGCCAAGCTACATTGCTAAACTGCGATAGTTCAACTTTTTTTACTTACAATCGCTCCAGATGTGAATTGCTGAACTATAGCCATATTTATCATAGAGTTCAAACCGTAATTATTCCTTGTTAATAATGAGTAAAATATAAAACTGTATAAAAGATTGTTATCCCTTCGCAGAATAGAATTTTAAAACGCTAAGAATAGGCATACTATGAGGACACACTAATATCACTTAAAATAATTAATTCGAAATAAGACGTGCAGTTTTACACTCAAGAACAACACGTAAATGAATATCTTTATAAATAAATACTTAATACACAAATATTTTTTTTAATTTATACGTTATTACTTGTTATTGCCTTCGATACGGAACTAGATGTACGCTACAAAATCCTTCATTCATAGTGAGGATCGGGGTTATGAGGGAAATTTAAAAAACAGTGGAATGATGCTCCATGTTCTCTTACGGAGAGAATTATAAGAGAAAATTATGAATGGGGATTAAAATCTAGTTAATTAGTAAATAAGTAAATCTGAATCACTAAAGGTAGGCAAAAAATAAAATGTTGTATCTAGAACGGGCGTTAACCGATTCTAATGATCTCGGCCGACAAAACGTCCCCGGGTTAAAGGCCCTCGGGCTTTTCGTCACCGCTCGAATAGCACCATCACAATGCGTTGGCGCATAAATAACAATAATAGCTAAAGGTTTCTAATTGTTTGCGTCGCATAGAATGCGTGCGTGTGCGTGTGCGTGTGCCCACCGAGACGCGAATGCGCGTTCCGTCCGCCACCAGCTCCTTCCGGATGCCCTCCGCGAGGGCCGTGACCGCGTGCTTACTGGCGCTGTACATCAGGAAGCCCGGCCGGTTGGAGACCACGTGACCCGCCACACTGGAACAAACGCATCAGGTCACGCGTCATGACGGGCCTTCTCCCACGTCAGGCACCGGCTGAGGAGACTCGTGGCATCAACCGATGTCCCTCTCACCGGGAGGTTCTACGGTTCCTCTCCCGACGGTGGAAGGAGAGTTTCGACATTAAGTCAAGTTCAGTCAGCGGTCCGGAGAACCAGCGTCCAGCGGACAAGATGCTCTGATCAGTATCAGTAGAATGCCGGAATTGTTCTTCCTCTTCTTCGTTCTATCTTCTCCCCTTACACAAACACCCAAACGTACACTTTCATTCACTGCACTATCACACATGTCTACATTACACTAGAGATCTTCTTTTTCATTTTAGATTGTTTCAATGTTGATAAATAAAAGTACCCTTAACGGGAATCAGTCCGTTTGATAATGAACTCTTTGGAATTTCCGAATATCATTCAGTATAACCCACGAATGAATCTTGTTTGTTTATCGAAGCTAATTTAGGAAAATAAAGCATTTGCAAGGTCATCTTAAGACTCGGATCGAAAGTCGCTTGTTTTTCACAAAGGAAATTTAAGGTTAGTAAAGTGCTGCGTTCGCGGAGATGCTACCTGGCGGTCCTCTTGACAACATACTATCTACTCTTACATATACCCCTAACGTTAAAATTAATAATGTGGTCGCTAATTCCCTAGTAGTTGATGCGACCTTAAATAACAAACAAAAAACATTTACAGGGATTCAGAATAAAATATATCAATCTAGGAGTCGTAAACCGCAAACAATAATTAACAATATTATTATGAGCTTTAACAGCAATCTATTGGGCGATATTACGAACATTCTGACATGAAATATATATTGAAGGATACGTTAAAAGTGAATTAAATTTACTTAGAAGATGGCTTTCTGTCAGCTGTCAGGAATTAGTCCCAACACTGTTCTGCACATCTGTTGATAACGTGATCAACATATATGTTATTAAATAAAAATTAACCTTGTTCTAGTTTATATAATGGCACACATAATGCTCGTCCATTGACGTAAGCTCATTTTATATCAAATAAACATAGTAAAAAATGGTGTTCCTTGGCATCAGAATTGATAGACAATTTAAAAATTCTTAGTAAACAGGGAAAGTATGTTTAAGAAATGTAAAGAAAAGGAATGTAATTTGTAAGACTGCTGTCAATAGATTTCAGTGTAACCAAATCCATATCAGTACTTTGCACAACTGTTGAGAATGTGAATAATATTGTCACCATGATTATTATTTAATGGGCTCTTAGCGTAGATTTTTGCTTAAGAAAACTTATCATTTGTACGATTTTGTATCAAATGAAAATTATAAGAAATTTCAAATCATGCTAATATGTTTACAGAATGTTTCCAATTCGTACACTTTCGTTGGCATGGAATACGTCTTAAATTTCCATCGGCAAATGAAGCTTTTCCTCACATTGCATCATTAGATAAATCTTCTTGTTTCGTAATGGCTTTTAGTACACTACCTAGATATGGCACTGCGAGAATGTAATTATTCTTAACCTGCACAAATTATATTCTTCACGTAAATGCTTAACTTTTCAGAGTTCGGTTAATAATACAGAGAAATTTGTTACTTAGCTCCATATGTGACAACACATTATGCGTGAAAAAACACTGTCACATACCCTAAATCGCACGATTCTTAAGTATTCATTCAGTGGAATGAAGATCAGAATGGTATTTTAAACTATGAAAGGAAAGCTTTCATACTAATATTATTTTCCCGACATCTTGAATAATTTACGAATATCACGAGACATTTCCAAACCATGTATGTATTATGGTTTTCGCATTATTTTATTTAACTACCGGAGTTAGATGCACTCGTATAGATATTATTTCTTCAGTACATCCATCGATCTTATCAGAATTCAGCAAATGACCGATTTTAAAACTGTTGTTGCCTGAATTTATTGATTTTAATATGATAGATGTACTGGGAATGGGAAAGGTTCAGAACATAATTTGATGATCATTGTGCTCATTGATAACCATTTTCCAACATTGTTAGCAAGTATTTTTTTCCTCCTCTGAATACACAATCCGAGAGAACATAATTCAGCATATCCATCATAATTACGTGGTTTCCATTTATTAAGTTGCATATTGCGCGCCTCTGAAGACAGCGTCCGTCCTTCGTATAGTAAGGGCAACGTACACAATCTCGAGAGATTGATATATGGTGCACGGGAGATTGTTCAAGAGGCCACGGGAGAGGACAAACTCCGCAGGCACGGGAGCTTGAGTGGCTCTCGGAAGGAGGTCAAGGTTTCTTGAGGGTCTGCGAAGAGGGCGCGACGGCGACAGCGAAGGCTCGCGACGTTGGAGCGGGAAGCAGAAGCACGAAGCACAGCCTCGATTATCCGATAGACCGGGAGGCAGCGACTCAAAATTTGAAGCGATCTACGGGCAGAGGCGTATCTAGGAATTCAGACGCCCATGGAAAACATACTATTTACGGTCAGTTTACTTCAAATAACGGCTGTTGTTATTTGTTTTTGCGGGTTTACAGTGGCTCTTTTCAGTGGCGCCCGTGGCACGTGACGTTTCTGGGGTAGCGTAAATTCGCCTCTGTCTATGAATGGATATTTGCTTCATTTATTCTTTCTAGTGCAAATTAAGACAAAAACAAAAGTCACACGCCATATATTCGGGGATAACACTTGTAAACAGAGGGGTAAAAGGCTCTTGCACGTCATAGTACGGTTTTCTACTAAAATTCGATTAATGACGAAACATTAAATTTGTCGCTACTAGAAGAGAACTTGTGTCTTGTTAAGCTACTTGAGATAACAAGAGAGCATAGCTGTAACATGGATAGGGAAAAAAGTACATACGTTAAACTGAAGATTATAATAATGTATATTCTTAATAAGAATAATCGTAATCAGAAATAAAATATTTTCAGATAGTCTCACAAAAAGTGTATGTTGGCCCATGCCCACATTCTGCAGTGACTCATGTCATTACTGTACAGCATGGTCACGATGCTCACCTGTTGATGTGAATAATATGACCGTCGTTGACTCCGCGTGCTTTCATGTCCGTCACGGCTTCTCGCGTGCACAGCGACAAGCCAAGCACGTTCACGTCCATCATGTGACGCCAGCCATCCAGATCACCATCTGGAATTTTTTTAATTTCCCATATTACTTAGTGTTTACTTGACACCAGTGGCACATGACAAAAAAGTTGATGTTTTTCTTAGAAAGGCATAGACGTTTAACCTTTAAGATGAAACGTAAATATTAAGTAATTATTAAAATATTAATAATAATATTAAATAATTTTTAAAACTATCATTAATAAATATCAGATTATAAAAGATTCTACTATAAGTATTCTAATTCATTCAAAAACGTAAATACGTTCAGTTCGGGTTTTCAATTTATTTTTTCTTGCTCGGCATTTCTACCTTTCAAGAGTGTTGATATAATTTTATGGGCTGAAGCATCCTTAGGTCTAAGTATCAATACACTTCCGTGTATTTTTTTTTTATTTTGATAAATAAGAACTT